CTGAAGATGACTTCCGCTCAGGTTGTCGAAACGTCAGTCACCAACAACAGTTCTTTTCAGAACTACCCTTCACCCGGACGATCACACTATACGAACTATTGTTGATTCTATTATTTAGCGCGCGCTCTCATGCATGACGTGGCTTGTGAATTTGCGTGCGCAGTTGTGCGCAGTAAGGATGCGCAGAAACAATTAGCGCGAACGTCCTTAACGGAGAAGGCCACTCCAAAAAACGTATATTTTTTCTCAACGCTAATAAAAGCCTTGCACTAAGTTTAGCCACTCACCGAAGTTTCAGCCTCTAAAGTGTAGGTTTTCCTTACGAAATTCGTCTCCAAAGAAAGCCAAAATTCGAGCATCGTTGCCGCCATTTTGAAGACTACTCAGCAGCTAGGCCGCGATTTCCTGACGTCATTCCGTCCGAGAGTGGCTTCCGACAAGCCTTTTCAACTACCACTCTGGGTTATGGCTGCTCTTAAGTCATATTATTTTGAGCCAAACATGCTCCAAACTTCGAAGTGATAGCATTGAAAATAGTGAAGTGGATAATCGCTTGGAAAAAATAGATTTTGTTGACGTTGTGAAGGATACCAAGTCAGCTGCAGGTTTTTTCTCCTCGAGTCCGACGGAATGACGTCACATTAACAAGGCCTAGCTGCCAAGACAGTTTCAAAATGGCGGCCTCCGAAGTCGTTTCTTTCGAGACGAATTTCTTCAGGATAACGGTGCACTTCAGAGGTGAAACTTCGTTGAGTGGAAAAGCTGAATGTTTACTTGCTATAGGCGAAGAAACAATAAGTAAGCTTTTAGGAGTGACCTTATCCTTTAATTTTTCCAAATCTTAAAAAGGTTCTGAACCCTATCCCACGATTTTGTTCTAAACTTGATAAACATGTTAGATATAAGTCAATAACAAAAAATTTGGGTCGTCTTCCTTGTTTCTGAGTTAAAAACAATGAACGGCAAATTTAAGGGTTTTTGTAAATGGTTATACTATTGCTATGGTACTATGGTAACCCGAAACTGACCCTATTTTGTTTACTAAAGACTGGGCATTTGTTTCATAACAAACAAGAAAGCAGCACGTTTAATCATTTAACATAATGTCATTTGAGAGAGAGACGGGTCTCTTCCGGGAGGGGGCGGGAAGAAGAGAGACACTGGCAGCGAGTGTATTTAATCTAGGTTCTTTCTTTCCGCCCTATATAGTGGCTGAACCCGGGCGGGCGAAAAGAAAGACTCTTTTTTCGCCCGCTCGGGTTCAACCCTCATATATGGCGGGAGGAAAGAAGAGTTCGGGGACTGAGCTATAAATTTAGGTGTACATGTACCAGCTTTCCCTTCAGTGCCATATTAAGGGTACTCTCGTGTAGTCCTTTCAGAAGCAATCATTGTTTGTTGTCAAAAAAATATATATTCCAAAGCATTTTTGCACTCGAAACGTTTATTTTCATGATAAACAGTTGCTAGGCATCTGGTCAGAAAGTTTCAACCTTCTGCACAGAACTGAAGTGTCCAGTCCTCTGCGGCTTGCCAGCAGCTCTTGAACTCGTCGCGTCGCACTTTATTCCTTTTTTGACATTCAACCTGGCGGTGTTGGCGGGAAGACTGGCTACAGTCGTCTCACCAATCACGGGCCCTGTGTTAGAGGCAGTCTTGTTTTGGTCGCAGCAGGTGCTTGTATGATTGTATCATGTAAACAGTCTTCGGAGTTAGAGGAGTGAGAGAAGAATAAACCAGCAAAACCAATCAACCAAAGTGTCTGTTCAATTGAATGGCACCTACATATATTTACTCTTTCATTCACGAGGGCCGGTCAGGTCCCTTAAAAATTTCACATTTTTCGGTCCTTGTTCGCCATAAATTCAATTGTTGCTTACAGTGTTTTGCCAGAAGATCCCGTTAATAGCACAGATAGTTTTCGTTATTTAATATGAAGCCAATAAAAATATTCCTTACTCCCTCGTCTTAAATGATCAGCAGTGTTCCCAAACCCAAGATAAATAATAAAACTCTCCTTGTGTAGAGCGTACAAATTTCGAGGAAAAATCTTCAGCTAAATGGCATTGTGTTGATTTAACACAGGATGCACAAAACTGACTTTGAAATGACTGTTTAATATCCCGTTTTAAACCTGAGAGTGAACGTGTTTCGTAACATGAGTACAATCGGAATTCACTCGCTCATATGAGAACCGGAAAAGGTTCTAACATTTTTATGAGTAATTTACGCAACATTATAAAATATATTAAGACCACAATGACTAGGGAACAACATAAGAAGGTTAGTAAGTGTTATTTTACTACCATAATAAGTTTGCAAAACCGGAGTAGTGCAGAGTCTCATCAAAGTTTTCTGAATCGAATCTTCGCTGAAAAGGTTTTAAGCAATGGGAAGTTGATCAGGGATAACTTTCAGATGGCTGAACCCAAACAATAACAAAAGCCTAAACTTTTACTTTTTGATTGGCTGACTTTCCAGTTTCTGTTATCTGGATATGAAATATGTGTAATCAAGCTCACCAAGAAGATGATAGGAAACTTCTGCCTTTACTTCGGACTTT